GGCACGCTAGATTCGGCATTTGCGGCATATGCCGAAGCCGTGCGCCCACAGCCTTTCGGAAGGGACAGCGGAAAGATGCAGTTTGCCCTTGGTACGTGGCGTGCGCGGGTGACGACGCGCCGAACGTTCGCGATGCGTAGACCGCTTCTGCCTCGCGCAGTTGGAGGATCCAGCGCACCAAGGGACGCGGCTGCGCTGGGACACGGCGGACCTCGAGCGACGCATCAACAGCGCGTTCGCAAGCGGCGATTGCGCCCTCGTCGACGGGTGTGTCATGCGATGCTCTTAACACCACGAATCCGATACGTACTAGCTATGCGCCGTTCTGCAAGCACCTCTTTGTGCCCAACTTTACGGACGCGCTTGTGAGCACAGCCGCCATCACGGAGGCCAACAAGACCCACTTGCGCAGTGCGTACGTGGCGCGCGCTGAGCACGAGCTGCCCGTGTACACTTGCGCATGCTCGTAGTATGCGATCTCATGACGGCGCGCACTAGGCTAGTGCGGTGGTTCCCTGCGGACGTTGTGGCGCCGACGGTCGCGACCTACCTGGATGTGATTCTCTACAGCCGGGACCAAATCGAGTATTTTTCAACTTGTCCACAGATCGGCCAAATATTATCATACTTTCCACAAGTCAAAGACCAATATGCTCACATTTTCCACACGCTTCCTGATTGGTTAAAAAGGGGCACAATATGGACTCTGATTGGACTTTGCCAAAATAATCCAAAGAGCCCTGCACGGTCCCTTCGACATGTAATAGTGTTGTTGAACTACCAAAAGACATCAAATAAAGTTAGAAATTCTAAAAACACTAGATATTCATAATGACATTCGCTTCAACCTTCCATTCGCTGCGTTGTACCTCGCCATGGCCGACGTCATGGAAACGGCCTCCGATCGACGCCTCGAGGTGGCCAACATGGCCAAGACGGCGCCGATTCTCACGCCACACGCCACGGCCCTCCTCAAGGAGCAGAAGGACAAGGCAGAGGCGTACTCAGTGCGCGTATCCACCGCATCGTTGCTCGTCGTCTACATCCCGGCCTTTGGAACCGAAGGTCATGAGGTCGATGTCGATGCTCGTACCTGCTCGTGTGGGTACGTCGAGCAAATGCACCTGCCGTGTCGCCACCTCATCCGCGCCCTCAAGCACGTCGGCAAGCTCGACACTGTCGAGATGTGCATCCATCCGATGTACAAGTTCGAGAACTACAAGCGTGCAGTTGACGCGGTCGCGTATCGACTGCCCATCTTCGGGCACCGATGCCCGGAGCCCAGCGTCACGGTACTTCCTCCTCTCGTGACCAAGTCCAGCGGCAAGCCTCGTACCAACCGCATCGCGAGTGCGGGTGAATCCGGGTCCAAGGACAACACGTATCAACATCGACCCAGCTCGACGAAAAAGAAGTACAAGTGCAGCGCATGCGGCGCCACCGACCACAACGCGAAGACCTGCGCCAAGAAGGGACGCAAGCTCGTGGCCTCGCGCTCGGCCGGAAGCTGCCTATGGAAGGACATCCCGGCTGCCTGCGACCGTATCCTAATCATGGACCTCCTTAACCCGGACAGCGACAGCGACAGCGACCTCGATTCCGGTGACGACGACGACCGCGACGTCGATGAGTTCGGATTCGACGCAAACGGTCGTGGGGTCGCTCAAGTCGTGGGCCAAGCGAGCAATGTCTTTAGACTCTAATTAGATACAATACGACAATACAATGAAGTGAGTCGAAGTCCCTGCAAGCTAACTTTATTTGATGTGTTTTTAGAATTTCTAACTTTATTTGATGTCTTTTGGTAGTTCAACAACACTATTACATGTCGAAGGGACCGTGCAGGGCTCTTTGGATTATTTTGGCAAAGTCCAATCAGAGTCCATATTGTGCCCCTTTTTAACCAATCAGGAAGCGTGTGGAAAATGTGAGCATATTGGTCTTTGACTTGTGGAAAGTATGATAATATTTGGCCGATCTGTGGACAAGTTGAAAAATACTCGGACCAAATCCGGCTCGAGAACGCAGCGACGGGG